AAGCTACCCCCCCTGCAAGGAGGCTCTTTCCTCCTGGGAAAGGTGAGGGGTCCCCTGGGGGTGGCGGTGGGGCTGTCACCTCCAGCCACTCTCTAAGGGGCTGGGGAGAGAAGCACCACGTGAGAAAGACCCCAGGAGAAACAGGGAGGCGCATGACTCTCAGACCTGATTTGGGAGGCAGGGGAAGCTCATGCTTGGGCTCCTCGCCCGACCCTAGGGGGCATTTATGGGTGTGGCTCTCGTTAGCATCACGGGGTCCCTGCTAAGCGGTTTGGTGAGTCCTCTCCCCCTGAGCCACGCCCTCGTCACTTCTTTCCAGAAGACGATACTTCCGGACGCGCTCTGGGCTGCACTGGAGGTCCCTGGGCTCCGGTCTGTTACCAGGAGGGGCTGCGTGAGGCTTAGCAAGTGGCATGGAATGTTCTGGAACACTCTGAGGGGTTCACGCTCTAGCACAGGCCCTGCACTGGGATACTGTTCTCCACCTCCACAGCCCTCGGCCCCAAGTCCCCCCGTCACCGTCCAGACAACAGCCCCTCTCTTCAGCTCAGGCTCTCGACAAAAAGCTGCCGTGAAAGCAAGCTCACCCCAGCTCCCACCCCCCGCCAACTAAAATAAGACCAGACACCATGAAGATGGTTCCAGAGGGGTGCAGCGGAGAAGAGTGGGGTGCCAGGGTGGGGCAGACCTGGCTTGGATCCAGCTTCAACCCTCTGCCATCTAGCTGTGGGTGTGCAATGCTACCTCTTCGGGCCCCAGTTATTTTGTCTCTAAAGTGAGGACCCTCCTGCCATCGAGTCAACTCTGACTCAGAGTGACCCTAGAGGACAGAGCCAAACTGCCCCACAGGGTTTCCAAGGAGTGGCTGGTGGACTTGAACTGCTGACCTTTTGGTGAGCAGCCAAGCTCTTAACCACTGAGCCAACAGGGCTCCAAAGTGGGGACAGCACAGCCTTTACTGCTCTGGAAATGAGGTGCATCTGTGAGGCAATGGGAACCCCCAGTGGTCAGACGGGTCAGTGCGCTTGGCTGCTGACCAAAAGATTGGAGGTTGGAGACCACCCAGGGGTGCCTCGGAAGAAAGCCCTGGCAACCTACTTCCAAAGCTGAGCCACTGAAAACTCTACGGAGCTTAGTTCTACTCTGAGACACATGGGGTTGCCGTGACTCAGTCAACTTGACGACAACTGGTTTCTGGTTTTGTGAAGCGATGACGTGGCCTGACCCACAGCAGATGCTCGCTGCGTGCTCATGGGTGGCTGGTCCCCCGAGCTCAACGACAGTCGTGCATCAGGTCCCCAAACGCACACTTCCTGTTCCTCATCCGAGCGCTGGCCGCATGACTGGGTGGCGTGGGCAGTGTCCCGGCAGCCACAGCTGCTGCCCTATGGACCTCCTGGCCACATGGTGGGCCGGTGGCCGGGCAGGGCCCCTCCCCACTGACCCGACACTCACCTCCACCCACGCTACCCATGCCGTGGAGAGGAGGACGCCTGAGACCTGGCTGCGCCTCACGGGGGCCAGCCTGACAGCAGGTCCCACAACCTCTGAAGGGGCGTGGCCGCCAGCCGCCTGGAGGGCACCGAGGAACGAGGGCCCTGGCTCTAGAAACAGCGGAAGACATCCCTGGAACGGGTGAAACCAAAAGGTGGCAACAGGGGCTAGACTGACTGCCCCCGGGGGGTGATGGGAACCACCCTGCGGTGCGAGTTATTTCTAGGGAGGTCTGGCGCCTGGGCGCCTGAGGAACAGCGGTCAGCGCGCACGCACTCGTTGGTCACTTGGTTCACTCTTCACCCGTCCTCCGGCGGAGGCTGTGGCCTGGCATGCTCTCGCTGTCCTCGTGGGGCTAGAGGCGGCGAGAACTCAGCGGGGGCACCCACCAACCCTTCCTGTGACAACGCCACGGGGGACACCGCCCGCAGCCGGGGAGACGGGAGGGCGGCTCCCCAGAACGCCCAGGTGAGAAGCCCAGGTGAGAAGCGCTGCTCTGAGCCCGCCCTGTCTCTGGCCGCACAGCGGGTGCTCTGCTCTGACTTGGGGAAACCTTCAGACGAAGGGCGTCTGAACAGCCCTGGTGGTGCAACGGTTAAGCGCTCTGCTGCCATCAGAAAGGTTGGCAGTTCGAACGCCGCCGGTAAGGCAGTTCTACTGTCACAGCGGGTCACTATGAGTCAGAATCGACTCAATGGCAACCAACAACAAGAACGAGAAGAGCGTTTGGGCCTGCAGCAGCCCCGAAGAACAGGGCCCTCCCACCAGGTAAGGAGGTGATTTCTGTCAGAGGCTGGCTCAGGCTAAGCCCCTCACACCTCTGCCTCGGCCGGCACACCTGCAGGCACAGGGCGCTCACCCCCTCGCAGGCCGGCCGTGCCGCTCCAGCAGCCCCCTAGTCTGTCTCAGTGGCTCCACCCCGGGTCGCAGGGGGGTGGCAGAAGGAAGAGCCGCATATGTCTGAGCAGGATTCCTCCCCTGGTGCTCCTGACGGGGGGCCGTCCGGTACACTGTAGGGTGCTGAGCGGCATCCCCTGTCCCCACTCGCTCAATGCCACTAGCACTCCCCAGGTGTGACAACCACAGATGTCCCCAGACACGGCCCAGTGTTCTGTGGGGGGCAGAGCGGTCCCTGGGCAAGAACAGCTGCTCCAGGACGACATGGATGCTGTGATCTGGCCAGGTCCTCAAAGAGCAGGACCCTCCATCTCCATACCTGCCAGGGGCTCCCCGGTCAGCCCTCCACAGAGAATGAGCTCGGACCCTTGTCCCTCTGAGTGACACTGAGGCAAAGGTCTCACAGCCAACCCCGTTCTGGGCCTCCCCAAACCCAGCCATTCTAGGTATACAAGCCCCGCCACCTAGCCAAAAAAAAAAAAGTTGCCATTGAACCCGCTCCATTCTGACTCACATATAACAACCCGTGTGCGACAGAGTAGGACTGCTCCATAGGGTTTTCAATGACTGCTTTTTCAGAAGGAGATCACCAGGCCTTTCTTCTGAGGTACCTCTGGGTGGATTCAAACCTCCAACCTTTTGGTTAGCAGCCGAGTGCTTAATCATTTCCACCAGGCATGCAGGGACCCGTCTGCTCCCACCCCATACGAACGGCCTCAGGCACCAATGAAGAAGAGGACCCGGCTGGAAAATGAGCTCAGACTTCCCTCAGTGTTGTTTCTACCTCTGATGACTTCTGGGGAGTTTCTGTCTGCTTCCGCCTCGTCACTCCCAAAACCACCACCACCAGGCAACCGCGCTGATTCTGCGATTTCACTCGTGAAATAGTGACAGAAGCAAGCCGGCCAGCACAGACGGCTGACACACGGCGCCCCGTGACAGGAGAGCAATGACCTCAGGAACAAGAGTCCTCGAAGACCAAGCCAGTTCTTAACAAACCCCCTGCCACCCGACTTTGCTCAGCAGCAAAGCGCCGAGCCCTGGCCACCACTGCTCCCGCCCTGGAAGGAAATGACAGCCCAGTGTGGCCAAAACAAAAGGGGCTCTGACAAGAACAGTCCGTGAGAAATTCCGCACCATAAACAGCCCGGGGCACCTTCTGGAAATAACGTGCACCACTTTGGGGACCGTCCCCACAGCACCTCATTAGCTTCCAGGGTGTGCAAAACCGGCCCCCACCCCAAGAGAGACCACCAACTCATTCATTCCAAAGTCCCTACCCAGGGGATGGCCGTGTACGACCTGGGAAAATGGTTTTCCTTTAGGGACCGGCCTCATTCAAAGGATGGTTGGAAACGGGGGTGGGGGCGGGGCCTAGCTTCACCAGCGAGAAGCATGAGGTCATCATCCGGTGGACAGGGGTGGGGGGAAGCTGGTTCCCAGCCTGGTGCCCTGATGATTTGGATGACAAAACAGAAAAAAACAAAACAGGTTTCCCCAGACATCTTCACAGTGATGGGCAGGCTTGGGGCTTTGGGTCCCGGGCAGGTCTGGAAGGGGGTGGGGGGGCAGGACTGAGGTGGAGAGTCATGGTTTCTATTAGCAGGGGAAAATGGTCCTCGTTTGGGGGGAACATTCCACATTTGGGGGACCCAAGGTGGCCCAGCTTGTGTTTGCAGAAGACACAGGACAGGTCAGATGGAGGGGGTCAGGCCAAGGTTAGGGGGTCTGCTCTGATCTGGGAGAGACTATGCTGCACTACGGGTTTGGGGGAGCTCATGGCCAGGGACTAGGGGTGCAGATAAACTGTCTTAGATATTTTTTTTGGCGGGTGGCAGTCAGCGCTGAAATGGAAGCGCTTGGATCGTGGCTGGAATGGGTCAAACTGGGGAGAGGGCTCAGAAATCAGACGGGTTCGGATGATGAGGGCATTTATGCATTCAAAGTACATCGGCTAAGTGCTTCGGGGTGCCAGGAACTTAGGACACAATGGGGAACGGAGACACACAAGGTTCAGCACCTCCAACATCTGCAAAGCTCAAATCTTATTTTACTGGGACAAGGGGCTGGTTCGATCTTGGGGAGGGAGGGGTCACAAGAGGCTCCGCTATCAGGAGCTGTTTAAATTTGAGGAGGGTCCGAGCTGGGGCGGTCGGGATTTGGAAGACCCAGGTTTGACAGGCTCCAGGTAAATAACACAGGTTAGGGCAGTTCCGGGGCCCTCCTAGTTTTGGGGGGCACAGCTCGGCCCGATGTTTAAAAAAGGATGGTGGAGGCTGACTGCATGGGGGAGGTCGCCGTCCTGCTTTAAAAGCTAGGGATGGGGATGTCACGGCGGGAACTGATGGGGGGACGGAGATTTTGGGGTTAAGACATAAGATGGGGGATGCTGGGGTCACCCCGGGCCTAGCTCGGCGTCGGGGGCGCGTTCAGGGGGTCTGGGCTGCTCCTGGAGGAGTCCGAGCTTGGAGGCCGCAGCCTGGCCTGTTGGGTTGGATTCAGGGGGCCCCCGGTCAGCCCACGCAGCTGCCAGGGCCCAATTTTGTGCTCGCGGCTGAACCCCGCCGTCTCACGCCCGGGGGGCGGGTCCCCGACCTCGGCCGCCTCACCTGGCTCGCACCCGTCGC